GATTCCATGACCTTCCTCTGCGGTACATATCGAATGAACCATTCAGAATCCAGTTATTAAACTGCAACGAAATGCCGCTGATTCTGTTATAATTTCAAGTGGCGCCTACTGTAGCATGTCTGTCAGGCGTAGCCCTCTTCGTTCGTTAGTTCAGTCATTGAGATTTGTTGCAATCATTATGCGGTTGTTCCACATTTGTGGTATTTGGGATTAGCCACGCTTAGTCTGTGTAATCTATGTAATATATATTTTATTTTATTTTTCTTTTAAAAGAAGCAGATAGGTTTGCTTATTGTCCGGTCCAAACTCCTGCAAAGACTTTTGAATCGCTAGCCCAGAAATTTTCAACCAATAGTTGTATCGATTTCTATCCGTAACAGCATCATTCCGAAGTAAAATAAAATGTACTGGAAAAGATTTCTGTTTTGCAATTAAAGACTCACCACTCTTAAAAAAAATTCAACGGCAAATGTACAACGTGCACTGATGGTATCTGAAAAAACAACAACTGTAAGATATTAGCTAGATGAAGACACAATTGTCACTATTACCACAGAGTTTCAAATGTCGGAGATATTTTCGCCGCACCCAGTATATATATATATATATATATATATATATATATATATATATATATATATATATACTAGCAGCATGGCCCGACGTTGCCCGTGCTTGATTCAAAAATCGTACGACTCATACAGCAATCTCACTTGACTTAAAATATTTTTCCCATCCTTGCCTTTAAAGGAGTGCCCTTTGCCGTGCTGATGTTGCTACATGACTTACTTCTTGTCTATCTCACACTGCGAATTTTTTCCAATTGGAGTAAAGTGCCATGCAGATTTAAATTTTTCCCACTTGTGACGAATGCAGCTATCGATTTTTTTGCATGCTAGCATGCTAGTTAACATTCGTGTCAGTCAGCTGTTGGCTCTCACGCTGGCTAATAGAATCTTCCTGCCTATTCCTGGCAGCCAGCTATAGGCTCTCACTCTGGCCAGTACAAAATGGCCGCAAACTACATGAAAACTGCCGTAGAAGTCTGAAAAATCGATTATTTCCACTATCGATGGGAGTTGGGAAATGCAAAGTCGGTCTTGGCCTTTCCGCTAACTTGGAGCATGTGCATGTAAATTTTGGTGCAAATCCGTCGAAAATTGCGGCCGTGCATTCGTTACACAGACACACACATCCTGCCTTATATATATATATATATATATAATAGAGAGAAAGAGAGAGAGCAAAAGAAAGCGAGAGGGTACAATGGTTAAATTATCGCCATTTTATATCTTTAATTTCGCGTGTTTGTTTTTGATTTCGGACACCGTACATTATAGTAAGGTCAGATGGGCACTATCTGTAAAAAAAAAAAAAGAGCACCTTGACGCAATTAACTTTAATTTGAAAACGGCATGCTGTACTGCTTGGCATTCTCACCGGGGGCTCCAATATGAACATTTCACGGTGTTTCGGTGTCAATCTGAGAACAACGCAAAGGATTCGGAAAGAGTTGAATGACGGATGGCATATTCAGCCATTCATGGTGTTTGGAGTGGTCATAATTAATGCCTTCATTCATCTGCCCACATTGTCTCAGATTCAACACGGAGGACTACCTCAAGTTCATCAAGGAGGTAGTGCTGCCCTGGTTCAAGAGGGTGGTTGCTGAAAGACCCTATGACGGGCAACAGAACTCTACACCATGCCACAAAGCAGGAGGACCCAATCATTGCAGCCAGATACTTTCGGAGGCTACATCACCCCTTACATCTGGCCACCTAACTCCCCAGACTTGCAAGCCCCTTGATTATTAAGTGTGTGGCACAATTGAGTGAGAGACCAACAAAACTCCTTGTAACACCAAAGATGAACTGAAGGCAAGGATTATGGAAGCATTTACCAACTTAAACAGGGAAACCATCCACAAGAGTTGCAGGAGATTCCAAAACAGTCTGGAAGCCATGGTTGAAGTCGATGGCGATTTTTTTTTGATAAATCTACTCTTTAGTTTTTCAAGCTATTTTTCGTAATGTTTGGTAAATATATCTGTGAACATGAGATATCACTGTTATTTTCATTTTTGCGTAATTTACAGTCCATCACACCATATATATATATATATATATATATATATATATATATATATATATATATATATATATATATCAACTCTTCCATCGAATTCGACGTATGAGGGTCAGGCAGATCAGTTCCTAAGAAACCGACAGCCCGACAACAGCACATAAGATTTGATTATAGTGGTGAAGGTTTCGTGCAGGACCATCCACACTTTTTGAAGGGCCGAATACAGAGACCTGGTGCACTAAGTGCCACAAGGTCCCCAAACGACCCTCCACAGGTTTTGAATTCAGAGTTGTCCTTCTCCTAGACCAGTTGCCATCCAAGGCTATAGAACCCAGTCTGTCCTGCTATTTACCCATAGCTGGAGGGAGAAGAAGAGGATTCACACCTTTCCCAAGTGAATGTAATGGATTCGACTGGAATTCGAACTCGGCTCTCTGATTCCTCAATCCAAACCGCTATTCATTATTCCACTGTACCTCTCTCTCTCTCTCTCTCTCTCTCTCTCTCTATATATATATATATATATATATATATATATATATATATATATATATATATATATATATATATATATTTACCCAGGTTTCACCTAAGCGGATCGTCAGGTGTTTACTCGTGTCGGGGTTTTTTCTTTAGGCTTTTGAACCTATATCTGTGCGATTTTTTCGACAGACTTTCATGTTTCTAGATCTTTTTTTTTTAAAACCTTTTTTCCTTCGAGATTGATTTGATTATTGGCAAATCAAAAATTCGAAGGTTTTTTCGAAACGAGAATAGTTACCTATATATATATATATATATATATATATATATATATATATATAGAGAGAGAGAGAGAGAGAGAGAGAGAGGGAGAGGGAGAGGGAGATAGACAGTGAAAAAGAAATATGATGTCTACTCGTGTTCACTTTCCTAATTTGAAAGAGTTTTCACTGTTTAAAAATGACAATGTTGATTAAATAAAAAAACATACAAACTTTATAACGTCACTTGAGGTGAATTAGAAGGCTACTTTAAAATATCAGAAACTTTTCTCCGAATTTAATTGAATTTGTCATTCCAAAAGATGAAAGAGTCATTTCATGTTGACGACATCAAGGAATTCATTTTCCTGAAATTCTAACCCTACACTGAATTCCTGACCTGTTTGGTTTCTCGTTATTCTAAGAGCGCTATAAAAACTAGCTAATTCCACGAACTGATCCCAAATACCTTACAAATAGTTTTTTTTTCTTCCAAATGTCAGGATCTTAAAAAAGAGAAAGAAAATTACCCCACATTTACCGTGTGTTGCTTTCTTTTGAAAAAGGCGACATGTCGCTTAAAAAATAGTTTAGCAAGTTGATTCTTACAGGTCGATTTTACGATACGGGAACCCTTTTTAAGTTATTTAGTGGTGAATATTAAGGTGATATGAAGTGGAAAGATTATATTGCTAGTTCTACCGATAGGAAAGCTGTTTCACTGTGCTAAAAAATTTACTCGCCTGAATTTATCTTACACATTTATAATTGCCAAATTACACTAGAATCAAAGGGTAGACATAGGTTCGATTTACACTAGGGTCAAATAGGTAAACATAGATCTGTTTTACACTAGGGTCAAAAAGTAGACATAGAGTCAATTGACACTAGGTTCAAATAGGTAAACATAGGTCTGTTTTACACTAGGGTCAAAAAGGTAGACATAGGTCCAATTTACACTTAGGTCAAATAGGTAAACATAGGCCTGTTTTACACTAGGGTCAAAAAGGTAGACATAGGTCCAATTTACACTTAGGTCAAATAGGTAAACATAGGTCTGTTTTACACAAGGGTCAAAAAGGTAGACATAGATTCAATTTACACTAGGGTCAAATAGGTAAACATAAGTCTGTTTTACACTAGGGTCAAAAAGGTAGACATAGATTCAATTTACACTAGGGTCAAATAGGTAAACATAGGTCTGTTTTACACTAGGGTCAAAAAGGTAGACATAGATTCAATTTACACTAGGGTCAAATAGGTAAACATAGGTCTGTTTTACACTAGGGTCAAAAAGGTAGACATCGGTCCAATTTACACTAGGGTCAAATAGGTAAACATAGTTTCGAATTACACTAGAGTCAAAAGGGTAAGCATAGTACCTATTTACACAAGTTTCGCAAAAGTAGACATAAGTCTGATTTATAGTAGAGTCAAAAGGGTAGACATTGACCTGGCTTGAAGATGCAGCTTGCATGTGATGCTATCGAAATATTCCTTTGTGAAAGGGCGCATTATAGGTGTTCATTGTACTAGTTGTCTCATATTAATACTTTATATGTTATATTTTATGTTCATGGCAACTAATATCTTTCTTTAAAAAGTTTTAAGACATATTTATTGCCTTGAGCGTGTCTCTCCTTTGTAGGAATCAACACGGGAGTCACTTACTTTTTTGGGATTCAACTAGTTTCGATAGCACAATATATTCTGTCAAAAAGATTTTACAACTTTCAAATATTAAAGCCATCACTTTCTTTGTGGAAATGAGTGAGGTTAGAAATTAAGTACATTTTAATAGACAAGCGGTTTTCATTCTTTGATACCTTGCTAGTTTGTTGCTTATAAAATGAGCAAATTGGTTAGCTCTAGGAAGTCACTTGAATCGTATACAGAACTATACGGTAATAACTTTATGCATATATATATATATATATATATATATATATATATATATATATATGTGTGTGTGTGTGTGTGTGTGTGTGTGTGTGTGTGTGTGTGTGTGTGTGTGTGTGTGAATTGAAAATACATAAAACATAATTTCGGCTACTTCCTTCGAAGATCCCTCTGGCATCAGACAGTATACGATAAGGATAAAACAGCAAAACAAAACAAAAAAAGCAAAAAAAGGGAATTTACTGCTCAATTTTACGTTATATTTCATAG